TAAATAATATATAGTTAGTTAGTTGTGTGTATTAGTATATATATATATATATATATATATATATATATATATATACACACATACACAAAGTATTACTAATAATTATTAAGAGTTAATAAATGAGCAGAAAATGCAAATATTATGGGATTGTTCCTCCTCTATCATATAAAAATGAATCACATCTAGAGTGTAGTCATTCATTGGTCGTTTATAGTGTGATTTTCTGTTATTTAACCAGTCGGGTAGAACCACACCAGCATAATGTCTGTAAAGGTACAAGCACTCATACTATTCCCAACAGTAATGTGGTCAATGCACTCGGGAATCCCACATTACATGTAGAAATCAAATTTTTGTCTGGTGAAGGTTGCTCCATGCAACAAAATGAGACAAAATTTCATGTTTCAGTAAAAGATATATAAAAATTGAAGAGGTACATGAAACTAGTTTTGTTGATAATAGAAGCAGTCAAGGTAGAAAGCTCAAACTTTTCAAAATTGATATTAAGTAACTCTTAATATGTTTTTTATGTCAGACATGACAATCCAGTAGAGATCTTACCAATAACCTATCTGTAAGAATAGATGTGAATGTTACCCCCAGAAAAGTAAGATGCACATTACTATGAAATGGCTTCAGTAAATGTGTAACTGCTCAAAGAAAAAAAAAACTACTTAGAAAAAATAACTAAACCAATAAGCTTATATTGAGCAAAACAGGAGTAAGTTGCTCTTTACAGATGAATCCAAATTCAATAATAGTTTGTGCATGGGCAGAGAGGAGAACAGTGTCACAGTCATCATTCAACTTCTACAGTGAAACATGCTAGGTGACTATAAGTAGGTTGCATCTCAGCCAGTAGTGTTGGAGATATGCATAAAATTGATGGCACCCTAACAGTTTACAGGTACAGTCTGATTCCTATCTATTATGTCATTCCTTAAGGAATAAGACCTGTTAGCCATGAATTTATCTTTCAGCAAATATGGTGAAATGGAACCTGGAAGGTGGAAAAAGCTAATAGAACACTTACATCTTTGGTTTTTTCCTTCACAAATTCCCAATACAAATATTAAGTTTCTATGGACTTATCTGGAAAATGAGAAGAGCAACTGGCAACCAAACAACTTCACTGAAATGTGGTAATACAAAGTATTTGGAATAGTATTTCAGAATCATAAGTTGATAAACTTACGGTGGCATAAAACAAGATGTTCTGCTCTGTTTACAGCAGATACAAAATACAATCATCATACAACTTATTCACTTTTGTATTTTCTGTAATAATGCATTTTATTAATAATAAATTGACCATTTAATTTTAATTACTTATTTTATGCGATTCATATATGTGTATTATTTGTACCTTTCCATAATTACTTCCAGTACTGTATTTGTTATTGAAAAATAAGGCAAGATAAACAAAACTGTTCTTTATACTGTGTATAAGTGTTTTTCTTCATCAGGGCAAACGATGTAAAGATGCTTCACATGGACCAGTCACAGAAAAGTTTAGAAAACTATAGGGTAAAGGAAGCTTATCGACGGATTGTTAGTGTTATCAGAACCCTAGGGGAAGACTCGGAGGTCAGAACTATAGGTGGGAAGGTACGTGTTTTTATGTTTCTTGATTTGATTATGTGACAATATATATTATATTACAATAATATTGTTAGAAATATAATATTCTTTGTAAATGGTATATCCTGAGTGAAAAAGAAAGAAAAAAAAAAAGAGATTTTATTCCCTGTAGGCCAACTGTAATTGATGATAACAAACAAACATACACAAAAGTTGTTGAGAATGCAGGCCAATCTTATGTTGTCTCTTGACATTTTCCTCATGAAATATGATGCACATCCTCCATTGTTTTGTGACCTTCATAATACAAGTTGAGTAAAAAGCAGTTGTGATGTGATGCTACAAATCCAATTGCCTACAACTGGTTTAAACTCGTTACTTGTTTGGAAGTGTTACCCATGAGGACTAATGGAAGTCAGAAAGTGCTTGATGATGATGACGACCACATGGGAAATGAAAAAAGCTGTCTATTTGTCATTTTGACCTTCTCAGTTGCAGTTGTCACACATTACACATGAGCATGTTGCAGAAGAACGTCTAACAAAGGGCAGATGTTGGCTTGTTGACACAATCAGTTGGTTGCAAAACCCACTTCTCTATGTAGATTCTCTGTACTACTTTTTTATCATAAAAACTGTGAAGATTGGGTATGTGTACACATGAATGATGGCTTCAATCAATACAATGTTTGTACTGGTGTAACCTAAATACATTAGTAATATTTGTAAGAAATACAACTATTCATACTGTATAGAAATATTTTTTTAATATTAAACTTTACAACTATTTAACATTATTAGATTATTTATAATACCTTTATTTATTTTTAAGCCAATCATGCAAAACTTTACTCTTTCAGGAAATAGATGGTCTAAAGAAAATCAGTGAAGAACTTATTAGAGTCCCACTTTCTGTACCAAGGTATTTTTTCCAGACTCTACAGTCTACTGTGATTAAGGTGAATACATGATATTTTGATATATATTTAGTGAGTAAAAAATAAATATACTTAATAGACAAAGTAATGGTTAAAATTGCTGTAAAATGCTCAGTGTTTCACCAAATGACTTTCATCAGGATCTAAGTATTGTTAATCAAGTAATGTACGTTCTTTACATTAGGAAACATTTATATAATAAATTATTAGATAAACTGTATGATTACTATATGAAATTTCTTGAGAAGTCTATTATATATTACTCTGAACAACCAATGCTTTGCCTCTTATTGTAGGGGCCTGGCATGGCCAGGTGGTTAGGACACTCAACTCGCAATCTGCTAGTTGCATTTTGATCCCTGTCCCACCAACATGCTCACCCTTTCAGCTGTGGAGCATTAGAATGTCATGCTCAATCCTACTATTC